GGAATCTTAAGTGCAGCAGAAATTTTTTTGTAACCTTGGCCAGATCTGTGCCTTGCCACAATTGTGTCTCTGAGCTCTTCAGGCAGTTCCTTTGACCTCATGATTCTCATTTGCTCTGACATGCACTGTGAGCTGTAGGGTCTTATATAGACAGGTGTGTGGCTTTCCTAATCACGTCCAATCAGTATAATCAAACACAGTTGGACTCAAATGAAGGTGTAGAACCATCTCAGGGATGATCAGCAGAAATGGACAGCACCTAAGTTAAATATATGAGTGTCACAGCAAAGGGTCTGAATACTTATGACCATGTGATATTTCAGTTTTTCTTTTTTAATAAATCTGCAAAAATGTCAAAAATTCTGTGTTTTTCTGAGAAACACAGAAACAATCTAAAGAGCAACATTGATCGTCTTCTGTTCCACTCTTCTTTCTTCAAACAGGGAAGATAAGAGTATCAGTAAATCTTCTGCATCTGTCCTCAGTCCTCTGTACTCTTTCCAAGCCATCTTCCCCCACAGGCCGGGGTTTAGTATTCCTCATGACTGCTTTTGATTGCTTGTAACCAACTTCCCATCCATCCATCTTCATCCGCTCATACTTCCCTCTCCCCACACACCTCCTGTAGCTCCTCAGAAGGAACCCCAAGGCATTCCCAGGCCAGCTGGGAGACATAGTCTCTCCAATGTGTCCTGGGTCTGCTCTGAGGCCTTCTCCCGGAGGGACATGCCTGGAATACCTCCCCAGGGAGGCATCCTGGGGGCATCCTAAACAGGTGCCCGAGCCACCTCAACTGGTTCTACTCAACATGGAGGAGCAGCGGCTCTACTCTGAGCTCCTCATGGGTAACTGAGCTCCACACCCTTTGTCTAAGGGTGCACCCCACCACTCTCCAGAGGAAACTCATTTCTGCCGCTTGTATCTGTGATTTCATTCTTTTGGTCATGATCCAAAGTTCATGGCCATAGGTGAGGGTAGGAACGTAGATCGACCGGTAAATTGAGAGCTTCGTCTTACGATTCAGCTTCTTCTTCACCACAACAGACCGGTACAGAGACCGTATTACTGCGGACGCCACACCAATCCATCTGTCAACCTGCCACTCTATTTTTCCCTCACTTGTGAACAAGACCTTAAGATACTTAAACTCCTCCACTTGAGGGAGCAACTCGCCCCCAACCCGGAGAGAGCAATCCACCTTTTTCCGACTGAGAACCATGGCCTCGGATTTGGAGGTTCTAATTCTCATCCCTGCCGCTTCACACTTGGCTGCAAACCCCTCCAGTGCACGCTGTAGGTCTTGAACTGATGAAGCCAACAGAATCACATCATCCGCAAAGAGCAGAGGAAAGATTCTGTGGCCACCAAAACAGACCCCCTCCGTTCCCTGGCTTGCCCAAAAATTTTGTCCATAAAAATAATGAACAGAATCGGTGACAAAGAGCAGCCTTGGTGGAGTCCAACATGCACTGGAAACAGGTCTGACTTTCTGCCAGCAATGCGAGCCAAGCTATTAGTCCGGTTATACAGGGAACGGACAGCCCGTAACAATGTAACAACCAACTTCCCCATTCACAGTAATTTAGCAGTTTAACTTCTCTTCTCTTTGAAAACTAATTTGTCCTAACCCAATAAAAATACAGAAAACTTACATCTGATTCCCATTATTGCTTTCAACTAAACAATCAGAAATACACCCTGACTACACTAAACTATCAATGCCTTAAAATCAAAACATGGATCTTTATATTTTGAATACAATACTTGACTAACCATTGATTATCATTGATTAGACATTGATCAAACATTAATTATCAATCAAATCTTTACTTTATGCATGAAACCATGATTTTCTACTTTCCTTAATTCTCTGTCTCACAGACACACACTTCCTCTTTTGTATGGATGTGTGTCTTACTTCCCCCTTCTCCATGATCCAGAATTTTCACTCCTTATGATTTAGATTTTGAATGTACTTTAGACCAGTGTTTCTCAACTGCTGTCACCCTGGGACCCATTTTCCAACCCACTTGTCAAGTTGCGACCCACCAGTATAAGATTTCAAATACAATTATTAAATTATAAAGCTGTTTAAAAAAACAAAACAGTCAGTACAGCCTTTCTGTCTGCATTGAGGAAATGTAACTCAAAAATAACTAGAGAAATGCATTTCCTGTCGAAAATGCATGTGAATGCTGATATGCTGAAGGATCGCCCTGAAAATGCCTGAAATCAATTGCTGAAACAGCTGAAGAATGTGAAGAAATGGCTGAAGTTCTTTTGTTGAAATAGCTGAGAAGAAATGGCTGAAGTTCTTTTTTGAATAATCTGAAGGATGAGATGCAATAAATAAAAGTAGGTCTGTCTTTGAACAGCTGAACATTTTGATACCTCAATGACTTTTCTAGCTGAAAGTATGCTGAACTTAAGATATGAAAATATTCCAATTGGTCCGCACAAAGTAAGTAAAA